TGAGGAGGTTGGTGTGGATTCTGTTGAAGGAGAGGGTGAAGAGGAAGGAGAAGAGTACTAAAGTATCACAGGGATGCTGCTTTACAGGGAATCATGTGTTTCAAACACTGACGAGTTTTTGGTTGATCAGCTAATTTGTACGTAATAGTATACACTTGAATGTACAATTACTGTTCTTTAAAATGTGGAAATGTTGCTTAAGACCCAGGCAGGCCAGTTATCTGATGGGTTTTGAATAAAAATATTCCCTGTCTTAGATGATTAGTGTCTTGTGTTTTCTATTTCGGATGTCTGAAAAATATTCTATAACCAAACACTAGGGAACACTGAAAGGACAGATGTGACATGTGACTTATACTCTCAATCCTCATCTTTCTTGACCTCTTGGTAGCACTTGCCATTGTGGACTATCCTTTTCTTATACCTTGGCCCCTGGAAAATGAAGGATCTGGACTACATGGCTTTTGTGCTACCTTCCACTTCTAAATCTGTAATCTGATGACCCTCTTAGATATTTTCTCTTCTCTGAATTATTAGAATACTGCTTTCCCTTGGTTCTCCTCTTACCTTTCTGATCACTCATTCTCAGACTCCTTTACTGAATCATCATAAATATCATGCTCCCTTCCCCAAAATTTAGTAACCAAATTTCTGTCCTGAGCCCTTTTCTCTTTTTTCTCTATACAAAAAAGTATCCATCAATTCCTATGAGTTCAATTATCATTTCTAAACAGATGACTATGTATCCAGTCCCAATCTCTTCCCTTGAACTCTAGTGCCATATCAACACCTGACTGCTGAACTGGTTGCCCAAATACATGTCCAAAACAGAACTTATTTTCTTCCTTCTAAAACCCATTCCTCTTCCAAATTTCCTATTACTGTTGCAGGCACCATCATCCTTCTAGTCACCCAGGTTCTCAACTTCAGCATCATCCTTGACTTCTCACTCTGATTCACCCGCATACCCAGAAAGTTGCCAAATCTTAATATTTTTTATCTCTACAACATCTCTTGAATCCATTCTTTTCATGTTGCATCCATTCTCATTTACACACATAGCCAACACTCTAGTTCTGATTCTTATCACTTCTTGCCTACACTAGTGTTTAATCTCCTAATTGGTCTCTCTTCTTCAAGCCTCCCCCATCTCCAGACCATCCTTCACACAAATGCCAAAGTAATTTTCCTAAAGTGAAAGCCTGACCACGTCACTACCCTACTTAAAAAATTCCAATGTCTCTCTATTGCCTCTAGGATCAAATATAAGATCCTTTATTTAGGTTTTAAAGTCGTTCACAACCTATTTTTATAACCGTATTATACATTATTTCCATTCCTAAATGCTATACCCCATCCAAACTCCATCAAATATGACACTCCATTCTCCCAGCTCTGCACTTTGCACTTGTCCCCCATGCTTGAAATGTACTCCCACCTCTTTATAATTAGTTGTTTCCTTCAAAACTCTACTCAAGTGAACTCTTTTAAGTAAAGTGTTTCCTGATTCCCCTTCACCCCAAGCTGCTAGGGCCCTCTCCCTCAACAAAAAAAAATTTAGCTTGCATTTATGGGTAAATCACTTACCCTTTCAGTTTTCTAGGGAACTCTCTAAGATTAAAAGTTGCAGATAAGGTAATAGCCCATGCCATTAAAGGGAGTTTCCTCACTTGGACGCTCACTATTCCAATGAAATCATAGGTCCAATCCCTTTCCCTCAAATATGAACTCCTCTGAGGTCTGGGACTTTCATTTTTGTTTTTATAGCCTTAGTGCCTAGCATAGAGTTTAGCATATAAAAGTAGGTTCTTAATAAATGCTTGTCAATTGATTCTCTGCCCACGACCTCAGTTTCTCTGGGACAGGAATTAAGCATTGCCTATCTCAATTTCCCTATGGGCTAGAGCCCTTTGCCTGAACCTGCAGTCTCTGATCTTATATTCTGCCATTTGCCTATTACTAACCCCTAACCCTCGTTGCCTTTCCCATTTTGGTGGATCTGTCAAATCCTTATGTCCCTGCCATTCCTTGATCTGGGCTGTCCATCAACTGACCACACCTTGGTTCTGATTCATCTTTTCAGTACTCATCTCCCCATACTTTTGGTCCTTCTTCAAGATGTCCAGTCACCTCATACTGCCCAGGACCTCTGGTTAAAGCCAATACTGACACTCCTCATGCCCTGGACATCCCTCTACACTCTCTCTCTCCCTTGTGAAAGTCTTTTCTCAGATAGCTGTCCCATTATAAAAGGCCTGAAAAACAAAATCTCATCTTAAGATGCAGTACATCTTAATCTAGAGGTCTCAGAGAGATTTCAGAAGATCCATGAACATGGATGGGGAAAAATTACATCTTTATTTTTACTAACCTCTAACTGAAATTTAGCATGTTGTTCAATTATTTTAAAACATTCTAAAAAGGGGGCCATAGGCTTTGCTAGACTGCCAGGGGGCTTCGTGATACACAAAAGGTTGCAGAGCCCCTACTCTAAAGGACTGATGACTTACTACGGTTTTTATTTGTTGCTTTTCCTAGAAGTATTTGTCATTTTGGAAGATATAATGCCTTTACCTTCGTGCTCAAGGCAAAAATTAAGGCTGTAATTTTAGGCATCAGCAGTAACGCAGTGAGTGTAAATTGGGAGCTAGGGACTTTATCAGGGTACCTTACATTACAATCTGGAATTCAGGTATATTTTCTACATAATATAAGCTTGGCTCTGCCCTGAGACAGCAAATTTTTACTACCTTCTTCTATCAACTAGTCAATTAATGAACAAACATTTAGTAAGTATCTACTGTATGCCAGGATCTATATTAAATATTAGGTATAGAAAGAGAAAAACAAAACAGTTCCTGCCTTCTAATATTCTAAATAGACAGACAACATGCATATGTGTAGGTATAGACATGTGTAGTGAGGATGTTCTGACTCCCTCTCCCAGAGCCAGGATGCTGCACATACGTTCAGAGTGTCAGGAGGCAAACCTCAGGGCTTAGCTCATGTCTCTTCTCTATTTCCCCCACTGGTTGTATTCTCCCTATTGTTAGGGTACTGTAACTAGTACCCCAGTTCCATTTAACCACTTAACATCAATTAGCTTTATATTTACTTCAAAGATATAGCAAGAACAAATCACCAACTTTTCCCTCAATAAATCTAGTACATACTCTCTCCTAGACCACATTGGTCTCTGGAGTAATAAGCTCAAAACTTAGTTCAGTTTCCATGTAGTATTGGTCCTGATGTGGCTTGCCTACCAGGTAAATCCTTCCACCAGCCTGGGGTCCTGAAAGTCCCTTATGCATATCACTCGTTGCTTCTTTTCATGGCCTTGATACTGTTCTGGCTACAAAGCCTAGCAGGGATTCTAATTCCTGAATTACTGTGGCTTACTCTTCTAAACTGTGAAACACCAAAGCTCAGAGACATCACTCCCTTCACGTAAGATGGAAAAAAGTAAACAGAAAAATTAAGGAATGAGGCCTATTTCTTGGGACTATATGGCCTCAGAGGGGTAAGACGCCCAAAGGCCCTACCCCTTACAGCATAGTTTCTCTCCAGGTACTATAAGAAGTGTCATCAGGCTCCCACAGATGTGAATGAAGCAAAAAGAGGGCTGAAGTCAACTCAGGCATCGTCAAGATACCAATAGCTTCAGCTATGCAAACACCTGAAAAAGCTTCCTCTCAATCATGTGGTTAGCCAACCAGAACCAGTCACAGAACGTCTACACGTGCTCCACAGTCTCTCCAAGGTACATGTCACCACAATTTTCACAGAAGCAAGCTTCCTAGAATTTTCCACATGGAGAAAGTGCATCAGCCAATCAAGCTGATGGGGTCTGTGAGTATACCAGAGCCCCCCCCATTATATACATTATATTCAAATCAAATATTAATCAAATTATATCAAATGTCATTATATACAAATCAAATCCAAATCAAGTCAAATATCAATAAATACAAATACAAATCAAATACCAAAATATACATTATATACAAATCAAATATATACAAATTAAAGGAGCAGGCACTATAAGGGAGGGGGGAAAGGAGACTAGAAAAGATCTCTGGTGGCACATAGAACTTTTGAAGGAAACCAGGGATTCTGGGAGGCAAAAATGAGGAAAAGCATTCTAGGCATGGAAGATAGTCAGTGGAGGGGTCCAGGATAGTGACGGGAGATGATCATTATGTGACAGAGACAATAGAAATAAGGAACCAGGTTGTAA